GTAGTAATAGTGAATTTCGAAGTTTTTTGTTGCATTTTACTCTCATAGAATTTTCCATTTTGCTTTACTAAAATAATCGGAGCACCAATAATTTTCACATTCCGCATATCAATTTCGAATTCCAAGAATTTAGTATTCAGAATTCGAGAATTTATATTCTCTGGCAATTAAAATTTATAAAATTCATTTTCTATCTGTGACATGTACTCGCAACAAAATTTCGTGCGCTATCAAGTTACAAAACATGGGAGCTCAGTTTCCACGAACAATTTAAAATCCCACGAGTTCTCAACTTGTGCTACGCATGCGCTCTCAGATGTCAAAGTGAAATTCTAGAGCGGGAGAGCCGCTCCATTTCGGCATTCGATGATCCGTAGAAGTGGAGAAAGTGTGAGAAAAAAGCGCACGGACATTCAGCAGAAATCAGAGAACAGAAGATAGTTCAGAAAAAATAAGCGGAACGAACCTGCTTAGCATAAAACACCAGTACTTTCGTTCTTCGAGACATTTCCGATCCTCCTCGGTCATCTCCATGAAAACGCGTGACATGTTGCAGTTCATCGGGTAACCGTAGGGCTGGTTAAAGCCTTTGGCTTGACTGGCCACATAATGCTCGCCCATTTTCTCTCCTTTTCGGCGTCAGCACACCTGCATATGACCGAAAAAACAGTTATCTAAAATTGTTGAAGTGCATGCGAGCAGAATGAAGGGGAGAAAATTCGGTTTAGCCAAGATTCGGTGCAAGCACGCGATGCTCTGAGTCGAATTTGCATATTACTGCGCGAAAATCATTATGTTAATACATACTAACATAAAATATTTAGTTCATAGTATTCTTCAACTTCAAAGAAATTGTCCAATTCGATACAAATTAGTTAGAAAAAAATGATCTTTTGTAGGTAGTTGATTTTAAGGTTCACATATCGAAAAAATGTAGGCTGAATAGGAGAAACATTCAGGAATATTTTTTCAAATTTTGATTGCTGAAATTGTTAAAAACAATACCGAAAGCTGATTTGTTTTTGTTTTAGTTTTATGAGCAGCTTTTTCCTTTTTAGAAAATTATGCTCATGGAAGAAAAATATTTATGATTTTCGAATTCTTTTATTCAACATTTGGATTTTAACATTGGAAAAAACTCCAAATCATAGTGATAGAACAATACACTCAGTGTTGACGAACAGTACATAATATACTTTGAAAGAAATTACCTGGGCTTTTAGGTGGAGAATTTTAGCAACCTGATGCCTCAAAACCTTGAAAAAAGGCGAATAAAAAGATTCCAACTTTGTGTTGAAAAATGATTAGAAAGTCCCAAATTTTGTCTGTATCCGATAAGAACGCAATCCAAAGATAATAACAAAGAAGCGATCAGATTCTACGGCTTATGCAGATTCTGGCTAAGGTAGGAATGCGATGAGCAGCTATTTGTCAGCAAAATGTCAGCACCATGGTAACAAACCGTAAATTGTTATGCTCTTGGTTTGCAAGCAAAATTTATAGCAGAATGGAATGTGATAATGACAAGATCAAAAAACCAAAAAGCAAATAACATCATGGAAATGGCTGCTCTTTTGATCTAAGCAGTCTTTATGAAATCTAATCGTATCAAATTATAGTATTGAAAGAAACAGACAAGGCATGATTTTAGGTATATTTGTGGAATTCTGAAAAGCGGAATCCTGGGAGTTTTAGAGTTAGTAACCAATCCAAAAACTCAAAACCTTGATTTTAATCAATATTGTAAACATTTTCGTAGGACTTTAAACTAAATGTTCAGCTCAAGTTGTGTTTGGTTTCACTTTCGGATCGTTCAAAACCTTGAGATAACTGGAATTAGCTGAGTTTAGGATAACTGCGATAAAATCTCAATATTCGATAATTTAGATTATTCTTGCAGAGCGCAATTCATGAAGATTTTCTAAGGTTGTATTGAGTTTCTCTAAAAAAGAAGAATCTCTCATTATCGAAATCTAAAAAAGCTTTGAACCACTTGGCTATAAACTTTTGCTGCCTAAATGACGCGATCAATATTCATTCATCAGATTATAAAAAAAACAAATCAATGTTGCAGATTTTCACTAACAAAATATTGATAAAATAGCAAAATGCGACGTTGGAAGCAAGTTTCAAGGGCTTGCTATTCTAATAACTTCTGCTTTACTGCAGTTTTACACCTGTTGTTTTGCACTGCTTCGCCAGTACTAAAACCAGAGAGCTGTACTCGTATTTCTTCGGAAAAATTCGGATCTTTGGGTTTTATGGGAAATAAGCGCTTGATCAACAACCAGAATAATCATTGATAAAAGTCATTTATTGATTGCGTGAATGACTTTTGATTCCGTTTCTATTTTTGCCAGAACTGTGGTGCCAATTTTCTTCTATGCTAATTTCTGAAGAAATGCGAAAGTGCAAGGAAATCCGGAAATTTTCCAAATTTGTTCACGTCTCAATGGTCAGCGGAAGAAGTTTTTCGGCTCACCTGAGTGCTCGCTCTATCCGCGGGGGGTAATTGTGGGTGGTCTAGACTGGAGGTAGATCAAACTCGCGCTCTCAGCAATCAGTCAAATCTATTAACGAATGGAGCAGAGGGAGATGACGTCATCCGGGGCATCAGCTCCTCGCCTTCGGCATTAACTACACGGCACTAGCCAGAGGCGATAACTCTGCATGTCTCGTCCCCCGGTCCCCCGCCCAGCGCCTC